AACGTACAATTTGAGATCACTCAAAATTAATGTCTCATCAACTATTTCTGATAAACTCCGTAAGCATTCAAACAAATCATTTGAACTTTAACAAATGAATGTTTCAAAAAAAGTCAAACAAAACCTGCAAAAAAAGAGTGGCTGCAAAATTCTTTCGATAATTTGAATTATCGAAAATATTAAAGGCACTAACGCTTGGCTCGGTGGTGTTTCGATACCCAATAAACGTTTCGCCTTCTTGGCTGGGATGCGTGGATGAAGGCGGTCTGGAGCTGGATTCGGTGTACGGAACAGATCGCCATCTTGATCCGGAACATCTGCACTATGCCTATCGTCCTCTCCAACACCCACAATACTCGTCATCGAACGTTTCAAGAAATCACTGCGACGTTTCGAGCTGCCGCTCTCCTTTCCGATGCCACGTTTTTCGCTTCTCTAAAACTGCGCTCTTTTTCACATTATTCTTATCATTCATTTCTCATATTATTATTTGAATTATTGTATAAATTATCATATTATTATATAAGTCACAAATATATTATAAATTATGAATTACAAATTATCATATAAAATTATAAATTATCAGCATACATCAATTCATACGATTATCATGTTGAGCAAACATAACAATTGTATAAAAATAAGCAATATAAACCACAAAAACTGACCGAAGCACTACTCAACTCTTGACGTCGCAAACGAAAAACATCAAATATCGACATGCGTCTTGTTGGTGTTCTCAACTGATTCGCGGATGCTTCAGCTTCCTTAATAAGTTCAAAAAATTGAAAAAATTCTGCACTGAAAACTTGCAAATTTTCAATCAAATTCTGAAATTTCAGTAGAATTTCACTGAAAATTATCAAATTTTGCTTCCAATGCGAATTTAAAAAGACTTCTCCCACTGACTCACTTTAAAAATTCAGATTTGTCCTTGAAATAAGTAAAATCAGCACGTCAAAAATCAGATCAAAACAGACCTGTTCAAACCATCTTTTACCGCTCAACACTTGATCGTTCAGAGACAACGAAAACGCTGGCTCTG